GATTATTAATCCTATTATTTATACTAACTGAATAATTGTTTAAAGTTTGAAAATTTTCGTTAAAAATTTGTGTTGTTTTATATAAATTTTCAATTGTATTATTAAAATTAGTGATAGTTGATTCTGTGATTTAAATAATGTAGACAACTCTTCCTCATCCTTTTGAACGATGTGAATTATATTATTATAATATTCATCGTCATTATGATCCGACACGTATCTGTAATAGTTTTAAGTACTGATAAACAAAACTACTGAATAAATTACGCTTTACTATATTGTAATTTACTAAATTGTTTAAGTTCTTTTCTTTAATCTTAATTTCCGGTAATAAGTTATTAATGATATTGCTCTAAAATATTACAAAGAGAAGTTCGATCAAATGATATATCTAAACTACAAAAAGTTTGAGTTTTTAAAAGAAGCGAATCCAATTAAATCTATTTTCTTAATAACATCGGAAAAGTCCATATATGTGACAAGTTTCCAGGTAGTATCATACAATTTGAGTAATATATGCCAGGTGAATGTTGAAACCGAGTGACATTATAAAACTTAGCGCCCACCATAGCTATGGATCTGTAAACATTTATAAAAATAAATTTCCTTAATGTTTTGCATTTATCATGGAATGTGCATGTTTTAGACGATCAGTATGAACTACAATTTGTCTACGATTTAACTGAATAGTGACGTTCACCGATGAATTTACTTTGATCACCTTATACGGGCCAGTATAATTCGGTGTAAGTTTCCTAGATTTGTTTTTTAAAATTTGTTCTGTCCGTAAATAAACTTGATCTCCGACTTTATATTCAACATTTTTTGTCTTCCTATCGTAATATTCTTTGTTTTTTTTTGTTTAGAAGAAAGTATATTATTTTTTGCAATTTGTCGAGATTTTTGAAATCTTAATTTTAGATTATCTAAGAAATCATCATATGTGTATGTATTTAAATTCAGGTTCTTTCACAATTGACCGCGGTAAATTTGGTTTATGACCAAAAAGTAGTTCATACGGAGAAAAATTAGTAGTGTTGTAAAAGCACAGTTGTATTGTACGAAAACATTGCATTCTCTAACCATTTATCCCAATCCGTTTGTTCAGGTTTAATATAATGCTTTAGATAATCAGCAAGTGTCGCATGACTCCTTTCGAGGGCTCCATTTGTTTGGGGATGACACGCAGTTGTTTAAATTTTTTTTATTTGAAATAATTTAGCAACGTTTGTAAATAAATTAGATGTAAAATCTTTACCTTGATCTATTAATAGAGAATCCGGAACACCAAATGTGCAAATAAATTTCGAAGCTAAAATCTCAGATATAGTTGCAGCTTCATGATTAGGTATAGTATAAGCCTGTGAATATTTTGCATCATCCTGCAGCGTTAAAATATACCTATTCCCATTTTCCGTTACCGGTAAGTGTCCGACTATATCCAATGTTATTCTTTTAAAAGCATCACTAGATGTAGTTGTTATCTGCATGGGTTTACGATTCTTTTTCCTAACTAATTTATTTACTTGACAAAACTCGCAATTCTTTATAAATTCAGCTATGTCATGTTTCATCGAAGCCCACTTATTATTTTGTTTGACACGTTTATATGTTCGATGAAACCCTGAATGACCACCGGAGAGTGAATTATGACTTTCCTTCAAAATTATTGGAATTTGTTCCGTTGTTGGTTCAAAAATATCCCCAAAGTATATCCTAATCGTAATATCTGATTTATCAAATATACAGGGTGTCCCAAAAATGTCCGACCCGGAAATGAGGCACTCGGGGGGTGAATAGCAACAACTTTTTCCTTAGCAACAATGTAATCTGAGGCTTCGTTAGAGAGATATTAACGAAAAACCGCGACCAATCAGAGCGCGAGTTTACCAGCCGAGTTCCCGCGCTAGCGGTGGCTACGCGCTACGCTTGTACTACGAAGCTCCAAACAAGTAGGTCAGCATGCATCGCAGGAAACTGCGTATAATAGCAAATAAAAAAGACGTAACAAATACAATCATACTTTTTATCATCTGCCGTTTGTTATTTAAAGAGATTAATGAAGGAAACGTAAATGTAGGCAAATTATGTGTAACGTAAAAAGACGAATGTACATTTACTTTTTTGTAAATTTCCTTTTCAAATAACGTGTGAACGAAAAGGTAATGTAACTGAGAATGAACGAGAAGTGATCGTAATTCGGTATTGGTATAAAAATTCGTAGTTTAATAACGGTCAACAATGTCGTAGGAAAGTTTAGGTTAGAGTATAGCGGCGAGACGCTTATCTCGCTGCCCTAGCTTCTTGAAGGGAATATGTTTACCTTAAGGAGACCACACGAGGCTCAGGGCAGCGAGACGCTGGACAGGCAGTCGTCTGTTGGAACTGGTTGGAACACGCAGTGTGCGTCGTAAAGAATAAATCTATATATATTTCTATTTGTCTGATTTACTTTCCCCACAGAAACCAACCTATTCCTTTAACCTAAAGCGGCACTATGAAACTGTAGGTATAGTCAACTGTCTCCCTATAGTTGGTTTATTGTAGATACTCAACAAAACAAACCCTACAGAAAGAAACCTACAGTTGGCCCTTTGTATTATGGTGACGTAGGCCCAGCGTTGGGTATGATCGTTGGCCCACTTGCAAAAATGGGTGACAATTCTAACTGTTGGCCAACCAATACTGCAACGACGAGCCAACAGAATGCCAACAATAATTGCTACTGGGGAAGTATGATGTGACATTTGCTACAAACAACTTGCACGCACATTGGCAGCAACATATGCAGCAAATTGGCTTGCGCAAACCTTATTCCGGTTTTGGCCTCAATTTGACATAGGTCATGCTGCGAGACTTTCTACCAATTTGCTTTACCATTTTGTCAGCTAGCGTTGCCTGCAAAACCCAAGTCAAATACGGAAACAGATGGCTATGGTTCTTTTAGACAACTTTTGTCATTTATTGTTGGCAATTTGCTCGAAACTTGTACACAACTGGTTAACGGGGTTAATGACTCAATGTATTTTCGACCGACGTAGTTTTCTTTGATTGGCCAGTTAAATGAATTTAAAGTAGGGCGAATGTTCGTGGAAATGATACATTCAGGATTACTTATATCAAGAGGTAATGTTTATCTGCCAATGGAAAATTTGTTCCAGAAAAAAATATTTAAAATGATTGATGAATAGGAAATAAGGAAAATTGAAGAGAATATAGTAACTACCCAAATAACACAAAGGCATCATATTTATGTACGTCCGGAGAACATCCGTTCCGAACGTTCTGTACAGTAGAAGGATACCCGAAAAGGTCCACATATCCTCCTTACGTTCTCGCTAAGATCTTTAAATGTCGTAGGAAGGTCCAATTTTCAAAGTGGAACGTCCTGAGGACGTATGCGTCAACATTCTCAGAACATTTTCTGAACGTGTAAAAGTAACATTATCTGAAATTTTTTGGAAAGTTTAAAGGGTTTTTAAAAACGCTATGGTAATGTATTAAAAGGCGTATAAGAAACCTTTCCCAAATGTTTAAAATTACGATTAAATTTCATTCTGTGTAAGGTGATTTTTCCTGCAATTTCCGCACTAAGTAGAAATTAGATTAAGTTAGTTCCAGTTAGTAAATATAAGGTTAAATTTCCTATAAGAAATTATAATAAAAATATATGTCTGGGGGTATGACCTGTGTGTACATTGTATATTTATTTGTATTTTTAAAGCAGAATACTGATTCTGTGTTAGTAGAGACAGTTATCCAGATAGCACATGACGCCTTGAAGACGCCCATTTTATGGCTATTTTAGGTTTAAGGCGCCTTTAAGCTATCTTCAAGGCGTCATTGGGCGTCATGTGCTATCTGGGTTAAAGAAACAAAATCACTGATTCAAAACAGAATACTGAGTCTGTGTTGATTAGAGACAGTTTAAGAAAAAAAATGTTTTCCCAAATTTCCTGAGGTTTCCGTACGAAGCCACTATGTAGTGTCGTTATACATCTCTATTGATTCTCTAAAGAATGACACCTTATTCATGGGTATCAATTACCTTACACGGAATGAAATTGAGCCAAAATTACTAAACGAACCATCCGTAATTAAAATCCTATAAACATTCCTAGAACATGTGAAATTTAAACTTTGAGAACGTCTGTAGGACTTTCGGGGCAAACTTTTCTAGAGCATCCGAAATTTAAGTCTTACGAACATTCTAGGGATGTTCAAAATAGACGTAGGACATTCGGATACAAACTACACATAAAACGGACGATTTCTGGATGTATGGTGCTATCTGGCTAAATGTTTGTGCGTTATGTATTAACATAAACACTATTAGTAAGTAAGCGTTTAGAAGTTGATTACATAACACAACAGGAATCTACCTAAGCAAGAGCTTAGCCATTTATTAAGAAATACTAATTTTACTCACATATTTGATGTTTTAGCGATTGAAATTTTTTAACGTACCAAACTCAAAAAATTTCTCCGTTGGTATGAAAGATGAGTAACAACTGCTACACTTTCTAAAAACTATTTTTATTAATGGATACTTTTATTTTTTGGAATCAGTAAACACTTAAATACGATTTGTTAAAAACATAATTAACTACTAAACACTACTTTGCACGTTATATAATCAGTTCTGTCTGCCAGTATCAAATTACGATTAATTTATTTCTGTTATTTCAAATAAAGAGATTATTTCTTGAAAAATCTTGAAAAGTCATTTTAAAATAACATTATTTGAAAAGTACTCGCAATACTCATATCTGGACCAATATGCGGCCCTATTAATTGCACGACGATTTAACAAACTTCGTATCAATCCTATTGATGTACCTGATATCGAGTGATATCGGAAGGTGTAACAGATTGTAACTGAGCAACCGTGCAATTGTCAGGGAAGCAACACGAAAATTGGAAAGTTTATATCTTTTAAGTTCTGCAACGTGATTTAACGATGATTCAATGATTTCAGAATTTCATTACTACCATACACGTTATTTAGTTTTCCATGGAATCATGATATAACAGTTCAAATACTTATTTGAAAATAAGAAAATCAATATATGTTTGGCTATGTAAGCAAAAACAAGGAGACACGATAAATACTGGATCCATGTCCATTTTAGTTCTTCCCAGATGCTGGGTTGATAGTAAATTAATTGTCCCCTATACATTAGTTCCCCATGGACAACTACTGTATCTTCCTTAGAGAATCCTATTCGACTTGTTACGTGTTCATTACTTATTTTGGCTGAAACTAAAGAAACACGTCATAATAATATAATAATAGCTCTTCTTAATCTCAAACAGTAGTAGTAACCGATGTTACTAACACTTTCTGTTTGCATTTTGTTTAAGTAATTCCTCTAACGAATAGTCAGCCACATCTATGCTATGATTATACATTTTGTATAAACCTTCGCTATTTAGAAGACCTTTCTGTTCCAATGTTAAATCTCCAGAAAACTGAACTTTCTGAACTTCATCATTTAACATGTGATTCAACACAGCAATAGATTCCATTACCACCTGGAATAGTTCCTACAAAGAATCATTGGCATGAATGTTTTAAATTATTACAAGAAAGATTAAAGATGTGTTAATGAAATTTTACCTTCAATGTAAAATTGAAGAAAAGTAGCAACTTAAGAGACTTGATTGGTTTATCTGTATAAAACTGAGCCTCAAACTTTAAAATATCTTTTATTCCATCACTGTTTGTATCTATTTCTTGCACCTGAAATTTTAAGAATTAGTAATTACTAAATAACCGCATGTAACTACAAATGATAAAAAAATGGCAAAACCTTTACTAGTATACAGTCATCTGTAACTTTATTATTTTTGTACGTTGTGAATGTTGAACAAACTATAGGATTAATCTTGTAGTCCCTGTATGCTAACAATATGTATTTATAGTTAAATGATGTATCAGGTGTTTCTGCATACACGCGATTCCTCACAGAAAAACCTGAAAATTGTAGAAATTAGTACCAGCTTGATTGCAGACATTATGCATTTATGTACACGTGAATGTGTAAAATACAACAAATACATGTGTACATTGAAATTAATAGCATAATAAAACTTTTATAGGGTTTAAGTATAGTTTTCATTACAAATTTTGTAAATTAATCTTACTATGTTATGAATTTATATAAAACTCTGCAGTCTAGTAATATAACATATAACAACAACTAAAGTATAAAAACTGTAATAATTTTGTTTAGAAGCTACGTTATAGTATTCAAAAAAGTAGATAAATACATATACTATATAAGAAAGGTACACACCTCCCGCGTTATAAATAATACAGAATGGCGAAAGGAACGAAAGCGTTATAAAAAATAGTACTACGAGAAAGCTTATGGAACATATTTTACTTTTATATTTGTAATTGACAGAGCTTGAAAATATTTCTATAGCAGTCATTTTGACGCGTTGCTAAAACCGCGGTAACGATTATAGCATAGACATATATGTATAATAGACTGCACCTATGTGAAGTTAGCCGGACAACTATGAACATTTAAATTTTCATTATACCTAATCGAGTGGTGGTCGTTTGGTGGTCATTAGTGGCCTAATTAGAACATTTGGTGGTAAATGTTCTTTTGTAATTAAGTGATCAAAATTTGACCCGGAAGTTACCGAAAATTTTTTTTTCTTCAGCTAAGTTGTTTAAATGCTTAATCGATGCGTAATCGTTTAGTGGTCATTGCTAGACTAATTAAAACATTTGGTGATTCTTAGTTTCTATAAAAAACGAAAAAACGATGTAGTTATCTAGCGGATACAGGATAGAGGTGTACGAACACACGTTTACAGTCGATAAAACAGATATTTCTGGATCGATTGTCTTTTCGGAGGAATCACGCAATGTAGAAAGGTGTGCTCATGATTGCTAACCTAATTGATATATTTGGTGGTCATTAATTAATGCAGGAGATGTGACAAATCGTACCACTGCAGCACGGCAAACATCGAAGGCTGGGATTGGCTGAGAAGTGGATACAGGGGCATTCGACCAATCAAATGCATTAACCTCCTTAGCGTCGCTGCCGCTAAATCCAGACTTTCGCACCTTTCGTTTCTGGTGGTATCTATTAACCTCTTCGCATCGGTGGTCGAGATATCTCGCCACGTGATTTCATTCTTGATATGCTTTCACGAGATCGTCCAACGCATATCATGAACGAAATTACGTGGCGAGATATCTCGTCCACCGGTGCGAAGGGGTTAACTGGTATTAACTTATGCAGGTGAGCTCTTGGAGTACAAGAATTATACAGTGTGTCCCAAAAATGTCCCCGACCCGGAAATGGGACACTCAGGGGGTGAATTGGAACAACTTTTTCCTTAGCAACAATGTAAACTGAGGCTCCGTTACCGAGATATTAACGAAAAACCGCGACCAATCAGAGCGCGTGTTTACCAGCAGAGTTTCCGCGCTAGCGGTGGCTACGCGCTACGCTTGTACTACGAAGCTCCAAACAAGTAGGTCAGCATACATCGCAGGAAACTGCGTATAATAGCAAATAAAAAAGACGTAAAAAACAAAATCATACTTTTTATCATCTGCCGTTTGTTATTTAAAGAGATTAATGAATGAAACGTAAATGTAGGCAAATTATGTGTAACGTAAAAAGGCGAATGCACATTTACTTTTTTGTAAATTCCTTTTTACGAATTTGTAAATTTCCTTTTCAAATAACGTGTGAACGAAAAGGTAATGTAACAGAGAATGAACGAGAAGTGATCGTAATTCGGTATTGGTATAAAAATTCGTAGTTTAATAACGGTCAACAATGTTACTGATAATAAATAAGTTTCTTCAAAAAGTCCGAAGAAAAAGGTAGGTACAGAAACTTGCAGAATTATCGCCGGAAATAAGCCATAGCTTGCGTTAAATTAATTTATTTGCGTACTTTCCAACTCGAAGCAAGGGATACGTTGGTGGTCCTCTTCATTTCGTAAATTTTCAAGCCGATGCACGTGATGTCTGTTTGCTATCTCGAAGGAGTAGGTACCCTGGCAATAAATTAACGGGGTATGGCGCCTTGGAGAAACTGCGCGACGGTTCTTTCCTTGCACTTCTGCAAAGCACGTGTTATCCTAGAACCGTTGGTTTCGTTTTACCTAAATCTTGTCGTGGTGGGAGTGAACTCACAATGTAACGATGGGAAACTACTTGGGGGTAGAGGAAAAATTCTGTCAGTCGGTTAGCAATCGGGCGACAGAGATGTTCAGTTCACGGGAGTATTACGCAATGTTATGGTGGTACGTACAGAATAACGGATATGCGGATGTTGCTGTGCAAGTGTTTGGTAACGTAAAACATCTGAAAAATTGAAAACAATCAGCCCTTTCCGGGGTCACGAATTTTCATAACGTAGTAACAACACGTTGGATTAAAAATACATTAAATGATTGTGTCGGGTGATCAGTGTTAGTGGTCGTGCAGTGAAG